CCAGAAATATTTTCCAGAAGAATTTCATGACAAAATGAATTACAATTCTTGGGTTGCAAACCCATATAACGCAATACCTGAAAAGCCAGCGAGTTTAACATCTGAAGAATATGAATGTTTGATCGACTTGACATCTGATTCTGGAATACGAGATATATTTCTAACAAAGTCATCAATAATAGAATTTTGGTGTAAACTTAGACATGAATTTCATCTTCTGTCAGATAAAGCAAAAACTATTCTGCTCCCTTTTGCTAGTACTTATTTATGTGAAGCTGGATTTTCTGCTTATCTTATGACCAAAACTAAATAGCGGTCTCGTCTTAATACAGAACCTGATATTCGTTTACAGTTGTCTGAAATTGAACCTAACATCACAGCAATAAGCAAATTAAAACAAGCACATCCTTCTCATTAGAAAAGTTGGTGGTTTTATTAAGTAGTTGTAGTTTCGTTTTTGGATGTATGTTTTATGTTTCATTTTTGTATCGAAATAAGTTTTTGTTTTATGTTATTTTCACACATTACTTTAAAATTTGCTTTTGGCTTATATTAGGTATATTTAATAAATATTACATTTTTTTCTGTGCTAGAGTTAGTTGTTCTTTTTGTTTAATAAATATTTGTTTCTTCAATGTACGTTTCTAAAATTGAACAAAGACCTATATCCAGTTGCAGGCAGTTGAAACCATCAAACAGCCTACTCTAGTGCTCCGCGTTAAATTTTCCTGTCCAAAAGTGCTCCGCGACTTAAAAAGTTTGGGAACCGCTGGGTTAGACCACACAAGGCTGATTTCAGTCGCTTCTCAAAATAAAGTGCTGATTTGGAACAGTAGAAAACTATGAAAATCAAGGAGGCCAAAAGGCGTTCTACAATTATTGTAGGAACGACTGACGATACAACCCTAAGGGCTTAGATACTTGAGGCTACGAAATTTGCTAGTGAAGATACTTACTTTGCGGAGTGGTCAGTTTCATGATCTTCATTAAGAGGTTAAGAAAGTTCGACAGTTCACTAAATCAACATGTGAAGTATAGTACTGGCACATTCGGGGTCGGCAAAAAGGACCTAAGGTGCCCTGCTTGCATGGCTTCGCATCCCCACCTTCTTTTTACTCCTAACATGACGTGTCACTACATTCGATTTGAGAAGATTTGAATACCCTTATTGCATAGTGTATCAGCGATCATGACATTTCATATAATAATAATAATAATAATAATTGTCAATTCTTCCATAGTCGGAAAATCCTTACATAGCTATCTTGGCTGCACAGTTCTGATCTGAAGGGGGAAACCGAAAGTTTGCTCATAGCAGCCCAGGATCAAGCCCTAAACACAAGATACCACCAGCGCAAGATTCTGGGCAAACTAGTCGATAGCACATGTAGAAGGTGCACCACAAAAGAGGAAACAATTCAGCACGTCCTTACAGGGTGCACAGCTATGGCAGCAACTGAATATTTACATCGGCATAATAGGGTTGCTACATATATTCATTGGAAAGTTTGTAAAGAACTCCAGATTGATGTGCCTAGAACATGGTATAGTCGTAACCCGCCCCCGGTAATCAGCACAAGCGAATGCACAGTGCCTTGGGACTATTCAATTATAACTGATCGCACCATATCAGCTAATCGTCCCGATATCGTCATTCATAATAGGTCAGATAAAACATGCATAGTTGTGGACGTAGCCATCCCAGACGACCAGAACATCACTACCAAGGAGGCAGAAAAGATCTCAAAACAGAAAGATTTACAGATAGAAGTACAGCGCATGTGGAAAGTAAAAGCTAAAGTTATACCAGTTATAATTGGCTCATTGGGAGCAATTAAAAAGGGAATGCATACGTACTTAGATCAAATACCAGGAAAGCCAGATATATATGAACTGCAAAAGATTGCACGGCTAGGATCAGCCCACATTCTGAGAAGAGTATTCACATAAACCTCAGAACCCTTGTTGGGTTCCGGTGGCTGATAATTATAACGCCTTTTTTTGTTGTACAGGTGAGGGACAAAGATAGCGAAGTTTAGCCTAGGCTACTCTTTCACTTAGCTATCTTTGTCAGTACATTTAGAGCACGATGTAATGTGCGTTGCTTAAGATGTTATAAAAAAAAATTATAGTTATAACTAAACTATACTATAAACTAGAATACACAACTATATACAGTATGTACATGGATACCTATATGCACATATGTATACACATACATACAGATATTTACACACAGATACATACACTCATATACATATTTACAACCATACACACCTATAATATTTAGATACGTATATGTATACACAAGAAAAGATACTGCACCAATGACAGGTAAGGGTATACAAATTGTTTTATTTGTTTACGGAAATTGACAGAAGATATTTCCTTGAATTTACCTGGTAAAGCATTGTAAAGTATGGCAGCATTATACGAAAAACAACGCTTGAAAAGTGTCATAGAGTGAGGCAGTGGCGGCTCGTGAGGTAGTGCCACGGTGCCATGGCACTACCTTGTCTTCTTCAAAAAGAATATTTTTTTCAATCTTCAATGTTTTACTTTATTTTCTGCTTTTTCATTTTTTTTGGTATAAATTATATGAAGTGACAACACTGACAACGTGACAACACCGCAAGCACCCGAACCACGCGAGACGGAAAGCATGCCTTGACCTTGACGTCATCAACTTGTGCCAATTTTGGGCCGGCCTAAATAAAAAGAGAGAAATTTTACTAGCATCGCATACGAGCGACAGAGATAACGCTACCCTACACATTTTTATATGAGGTGAATAGCGAAAGACAAGTATAATTTGTGCCAGGCACATCATCAGTCGTAATTCGTTATCAAGTGATATCGGCGGTGTTTTTGTTCGGTCGATCGTTTCGTTATGATTACGTCTAGTGCTGATTTCGGTCTTTTTTTACCTGAAAAGTGAAAAATACCTTTTTTGTTTTAGTACGTCTAGTGTTAATGAACTGCTCTGTTTTGTGATCATATTTTTTACTGTTTTATTAAAACTAGTGAAAATTAATAAAATCGGGATATTAAAAAACTCATTTAGTGGTTTTTCACTGGATCAAAAACTGCAAATTAAAGAATTAGGACGGCCAATACCCTATTTAAAAATTGAGAAACAAAGTGGTAGCGGACAAAAATCGCGCTGTCGCAAATTTAATAAAACTGTGTACGATAAAAACAGCTGGATATGTGGTTGTGAAGAAACGAATAAACTATTTTGTTTTGTATGTGTTCTATTTGGAGGTGACGAGACTTGGTCAAAAAAAGGTACAGACGATCTTATACATATATGGGATAAAATGAAGACCCACGAAAAATCTAAAGTCCATATGAATAATGTTTTTAGCTTTTCTATTCTTGGTAAATTAAATATAAGGACTCAACTCAATTCGGCTTATCGCAATGATCTAATTAAACATAATAATCAAGTGGATAAGAATCGATATGTATTGAATAAAATTATTAATTGTATAAGGTTTTGTGGAGCATTTGAGTTAGCCTTAAGGGGTCACGATGAAAAGGAAAATTCGGAAAACAGAGGCATATTTAAGGAGCTGGTGAATTTTAGCGCCGAATTAGACAACGAATCGAAAGTCCATATTCAAAGTGCCAAACTTTTCAAGGGTACCTCAAAAACAACTCAAAACGAGCTTCTTGAGTGCATGCTAGATGTTTATCATGAAGAAGTTAAGAAGGAGATTGCAAATTCTCCTTTTGTTGCAGTAATTGCCGATGAAACGACTGACGTAGCCTGTGAATTTCAGTTAGTTATTATTTTCAGATATTTGTGTAAAGGACAACCAGTTGAGAGATTTTGGAGATTTTACGCCCCCGACGGACACGATGCCAAATCAATCGCTGCATGCGTTTTAAATGTTGTAAATCCATTACTAGATCAAAATCCAAACAAATTAATAGCTCAAAGCTATGATGGTGCGTCTGTTATGAGTGGCAAATTGAATGGCGTTCAAAAAATTATTAAGGAAACTTATCCACTTGCAAATTATGTTCATTGCTATGCACACCAGTTAAATCTAATTATGACAAGCGCATGCTCTGTCAATAAGCAGGCTAGAATATTTTTCCATAATTTATCTGGATTGTGCTCTTTTTTTTCGACGTCTCCTCAAAGAACAAAAATTTTGGATGAAATAGTTAATTGCAGATTGCCAAGATCTTCCCAAACACGTTGGAATTTTCAGTCACGAGGTGTTCATACAGTTTATGAAAATAGGAAAGACCTGATTGAAGTTATGGACAATATAGAAAGTACTTCACGCGATTCTTCGTCGATTAATCAAGCCAGTGGGTACAAATTAAAGCTGCAAGATACAAATTTTGTATTTTGGCTAAGTATATTCCATAAAATAATGCCACATGTTGAAATTGTCTTTAAGCAATTACAAAAAGTATGCACCGATTCTGTTAAGGTCAAAAATGATTTAGAGAATTTTGAAGCAGCAATTCAAACTATACGAGAACAAATGGATAGCATTATTGACGAGATTGAACGAGTGCAGAGAGAAACTGATGAACCGGCAAGAAAAAAAAGGCAAGTTGAAGAAGGCAGCAAAAAACGGGAAGCGTTAGAAATATGCGATGCAGTATTATCGCAAATAAGAACAAGATTTAACTTTTCTGGACATTTAGTTGCTTCTAATTTATTTGTGTCTGAAAAGTTTTCTGTTTATAAACATCAGTTTCCTGAAGCACATTTAAATGACACATGCACACAATTTTCATTTTTAGACAAAAACAGGCTTAAAACTGAGTTACAAGTATTATATCAGAGAGAAGAATTGAGTACTACTTCTGGAGCTGTTCCACTATCCATTTTATTGAACGAGGAAGGATTAAATTGTACGTTTCAAGAAACTCTTAAGCTCTTAAGTATTTTAATCACTATACCGATGTCAACATCTGAAGCAGAACGCTCTTTTTCAATGCTGAAACGGATTAAAACTTTCCTCAGAAACACAATGAAGGAAGAAAGGCTTAGTGCTTTAGGAATGCTGTCTGCAGAAAAACATTTTGTTAGTGGCATTGAAAATTTTAATAATAAGGTAATCGAAAACTTTGCTACCAAAAAAGAAAGAAGAATGGACTTCATGTATAGAAAACTTTGAAGTTATAGGTACTTCTCCACACTTGTTTTATAATTTTTTTATTTTTGATTTTTTTTTTGGACATATAGGTTTATTGAACCTCAAGAACTTTGACCACTAACTATCAGGGGTAAGTTATAAGTTATTCTTTACAATTTTGAATCGATTCAAAATTATGGCTTCCATTCTGGCACTACCTCACTGAATTGGCACGAGCCGCCACTGGAGTGAGGCGGTATTCTGATTATTTTACGGTCTCTTATGCTCCTGCTATGAACTTCATGACTAAATATAACCTTACCTCTCAAATAAGCGGGCCTTGACGTAGCTATCAACTTGTGCAAAAATATTAAGCTCTTGTACTCCACTAGCTTGCCAATTTTTAGCCATTTCATATGATGGTACTTATCACTAACATGGTCAAATTCTCTCAGCCCATGGATAAAACGGATGCAATTATTTTGATAATTTGCAACCGGTCCTTCATAAACTGGTCGAGACATGGATAGTACAGAATATCGCAATAATTTAAGATTGACATAACAAGAGACTCACACAATTTTTTCCTTAATTTATAATTTAGAAGATGGCGATTGGCAACCAGTGCTCTCATTCTGGCATATATCTTTTTAGTTAGTGACATGGCATGGCCCATAAACCTTAATTTGCTGTCTACTTCAACCCCTAAAATCTTAGCTGAATGTGTTAGTTCTAACTGTGAACCATTTAGATGCACTTTAAATGAATTTTCCAAATTTCTTCGCCTTGCTTCTGAGCAAAATAGTAATATTTGCGTTTTATCTCGATTTATTGTTAGATTGTGGTCACTTGAATATTTTTGCACTTTGATCAGATCCTGCTCTAATAGAACAGCCGCATCTTGCGAACACGAGGTGTCAAAATAGTGTATAAGTTGAGTGTCATCAGCAAAAAGCAATCTACCATAACATAGTACCATATTCAGACGTGTTTGTTTTCGCTCTGACTTTTTCGTATTTTTCTGTGGTTAAAACTGATCGTTTCTGCACCAATTTATACGTGTGTGGTGGTCGTAATGTGCAGTTGCTGTGAACTATACTTTGATGCAGTGAGCTGCACTTAATCAAGCAGTCATGGCTACAAACTGTGCTAGTTGCCATTCATTGGTAAATCGCTCGAAGCCAGGTATACCGTGCGATGGTTTTTGTGAACAGTCTTTTCACATTTCTTGTGTGGGAATTCCATCAGATGTATTGAAGGTGGTCAAAACACCTGGTTTATTCTGGTACTGTCCTACGTGCTCTCAGCAGAAAAAAGATTTTGATCGAGTATTTATCAAAATTGATGGTAAAGTAGATACACTTATTGCTGATGTTTATAATATTTTCTCCGAGGCTAAAGGTCATCTGATAAATAAGGTTGATGAAACTTTGGAACAGACTGTCTCACAAAGGGTCCCGGGTCCAAGTGCCTCATATGCAAATACCTTGAAAAAGACTGTGAACGTGATTGTTACGCCAAAAAACAATGATGAGTCTCATTCTGCTACGAGGCTTAGAATTAGTCAGTCTGTTGACCCTGTAGATAACAATATAAGATTTTCTCAGGTGGAAAATATAAAAAACGGTGGAATACTGATCAAATGTGATGGTTCGGATGATGCCAATAAACTGAAGGATTTGGCGTCGCGGCACCTTTCTGCCGATTATGAGGTGAAGGAGGTGAAGAAGTTCAACCCGCGCTTAAAAATTGTTGGAATGTCTCAGTGTATCGAAAAAGAGGAGTTGTATACAATGCTGAAATCTCAAAATAATGCGTTTCATGCTGAAAGTGAGTGTAGTGTTTTAAAAGTTTGGCCAACAAAAAAATCAGCTACTGTTTATCAACCTATTTTAGATGTAGATTGTACTACTTATGCTAATGTTCTCAATCAAGGTAAGGTCCTTGTCAATTATGATAGTTGTGCGGTTTATGACGCAATCAATTTAAAATTGTGCTTCAAATGCTGTGGGCTGAATCATTATGCAAAAAAATGTAGAAGTAGTAGTCAAACCTGTGTAAAATGCTCTTTGGATCATAAGGTGTCTGATTGTCGATCTGTCAATCTAAAATGTATTAATTGTGTAAACGCCCATCATTCAAAAACAGATCACGCTGCCTGGGATACAAATCAATGTACAGTATACAAAAATAAATTAAATGAATACAAAAAATCTATAACAGGTGACGTATAGCAACTATCCTGTGTAAATTTAGATTCTGGAATCGAGCATAGTGAAGATATTGCTCAATATGATCAAACAGACTTCTGTATTTATTATCAGAATGTTAGAGGATTAAAAACCAAATTGCACACTTTATTCAATGCGTCCTATACTTGTCCTTATGATCTAATTGCTTTGACTGAGACTTGGATTGATGATAGCATCCATAATAGCGAGTTTATGAGTAGCGAATTTAGTGTTTTCAGATCAGATAGGAAATACGTACAAACTGGCCAGACTAAGGGAGGTGGAGTTTTATTAGCGATACATAAAAAATATAAAGGAGTTGCAATTGATTTTCAATGTTCAGTCTCGGAAATTGATGTTGTTGGGATTAGAATTGAACTCATTCGCTGTACAGTTTACCTCCTCCTTGTTTATATTCCTCCAAATCTTACTGTGGAGACTTATGAAACTTTTTTTGAAGACATCCTTACATTAGATTGTTTCAAGCTTAATGATACTATTCTTTTTCTGGGGGATTTCAATATCCCTACATATATAAATTACCTCATTGATAGTACTTACTATAACAATTACATTTCGGTTGTCAAAAATATGAGCCACTTCTTCAATTTAGTTCAATACAATCATATACGTAATGCATATGATCGCATCCTGGACTTAGTGTATTGTAATAATTTTGCACACATTTTTATAAACGATTGTATGTTGCATTTGATAGACATGTTCCTTACACATTGCCGAAAGATAACAAATATCCTCCATGGTTTTCTCGCTCTATTATCTCAAAAATCGGAAAAAAGCATCGTCTCTGGAAACGATACAAGGGAACAAGTAATTTGTCAGATTATGAATTATTTAGAAGTTTACGAAGAACAATAAAAATCGATATTGACATGGCTTATTCAAATTTTGTTGAAAGAACCGAGCGCGCTTTGGCTCACAACCCTAATAACTTTTGGTCCTTCGTAAGTCATCGCAAAAATTTCGCCAATATTCCTAGCAACATGTTTTCTGAAAATACTGAGTTGAAAAATCCTGAGCAAATAGTGAACGCCTTTGCAGCATATTTCCAATCTACTTATATTTCCTCCTCGGAATATTTATCTGACTCTGCCTCAGTGAACGATAGTTCTTGCCTATCTATTATAACAGTTCATGAGAAGCATGTACGAAATGCTCTGAATAAGTTGAAACCTAAATGCTCCATAGGTCCAGATTCCATACCGTCTTTCCTTCTCAAGGATTGTGCTTCGGTACTTGCTCAGCCCTTAGCATACCTTTTTAATTTGTCTTGAAAAACTGCAACCTTTCCTGACAAATGGAAAATGTCGAAAATTACTCCAGTTTTTAAGAAAGGCGATAGGTCACATATTGAGAACAATAGAGCGATTGTTATCTTGAGCAATTTGGCGAAAGTTTTTGAGTTTGTACTTTTTGAGGTCGTGTTTTCTCATGTAAGTCGTACCATCTGTACTGGTCAACATGGTTTTTATAAAGGTAGATCAACATGTAGTAATTTAGCATGTTTCAAGCAATACGCTGCGGAGGTTTTGGACAAAGGAGGGCAGGTTGATGTAGTCTATACCGATTTTTCAAAAGCTTTCGACCGTTTAGATCACGGTATTTTGATACAGAAGTTGTCAAAAATTTGTTTAACGTCTAGATTTCTTGATTTTTTCCAGTCATACATTAATAACAGACTTTTACGTGTAGATTATCGTGGTTACAAATCATATCCGGTGTTGGCTACGTCAGGCGTACCCCAGGGTTCAGTCCTTGGCCCTGTGTTATTTCTTATATTCATTAACGACATAGTAAGTGACTTGCGGTGTGAGTATTTGCTGTATGCTGACGACCTCAAGATTTTTAGATGTGTTAATACCTTAGATGATAGTTTAGCATTGCAAGCAGATCTGAACCTTGTACATCAGTGGTGTGAAGTTAATAATATGCATTTGAATGTTGATAAATGTTGCACTATGACGCTAACACCCAAGTTGGAACCGATAGAATCTGTCTTTGAGATTGGAAACAGCTCGCTCCTGAGAGTTTTTTCGTTCAAAGATTTAGGTGTTTTGTTTGACCCCAGAATGACATTTATCGAGCAGATAAATACTATTGTAGCAAAAGCGTACAAAAATCTTGGTTCTGTTATCAGAAACAGCAGACAATTTCATAATCCTAAAACTTTAATCTTACTATATTATGCTTTTGTTAGATCTATTCTCGAATATTGTTCTATTATTTGGTACCCGGCTTACGATGTACATTCCCATAATCTTGAGAGAGTTCAGCGACGTTTCGTGAAGTATTTGTGGTATAAAGAAGATAGAGTTTATCCTGAAAGGGGCTTACGTAATGACATATTATTAAGCAGATTCAATCTGCCAAATTAAACGAAGCGCAGACATTTATTCGCTGCTACCTTTTTGTGTAAATTGCTCGATGGCAGCATTGATTGTCCTTCACTCTTAGAGAAAATTTATTTACACATACCTAATTTGCGTACTCGTCATGGTAGCAACAGTTTATTCTATTTACCTGTTCCTAGAACAAACTTATTGTTGTTTTCACAACTCTATGTTATGTGTGGCATTTGTGAAAGTGCACGTGCACTTGATATCTTTCACCACAGTAAAGACAGCCTTCGAAGGTATTTTCTAACTGTCGGCTGAGCATGCTGTACTTCCTGCCTGTTCAATGGAGTGTTCCGTTCAGGCAGTGTATTGAATCTAAATAAATACATAAAAAGTTTGTAAATCACAATGTGCGACAGATTTGTGCAAATCAAAAGTGTATATCAAAAACAATACTGGACCTAGTATGGAACCCTGAGGGACACCCGATGGTATTACGCTGACTCCAGGCCGCCTGTTGCCGACAGAAACGCACTGCGTACGCTGCTGAAGATAGTTTTTAAAAAACTGAACACTCACATTATCAAGTCCAATATAATGTAATTTGGAAAGCAACAGTTGATGATTGATCTTATCGAAAGCTTTAGAGTAATCTATTGAGCTAGCGTTACCGCCATCTTTTTGTCCATAGCTCGGATCACATTATCGCACAGATTCAGTAGCGCAGAGGTTGTACTGTGCTGCTTTCTAAATCCTGATTGATTAAGAGAAATAATACCATTGTCCTCAAGATACAATTGTATTTGAAACTGCACCGCCTTTTCTAAAATTTTAGATGACGCAGGCAATAAACTTATAGGTCTAAGATGCGTAACGTCAGTTGGCTTAGGGATTTTAGGTGTTGGTAAAATTAATGCATTCTTCCAGTCTTTAGAAAATACCCCTTTCTCAATTCAAATGTTCACTATGTGCAATATATGATAGAATATTACCGGTAAACTAATTTTAATCATCGTTATTGACAAGTAGTATCAAGTCTTTTGCATCTGATTTTAAATTATTTATAATGTCAAAAATCTCCTGGGGACTTAGAATTTTCAAGGAAAACGATTTTGTGGGATTCAACCTATTGTTTTTATAAAATCTGCATGTATCTTCCGGTACACTGTCAGCACTATAAACAGACATAAAGTAGTTATTTATGTTTTCTGGCAGGGAAGGTTTAATGCGAGAGTTTATACTAAATTTCATTATCATTTTACAAATATTTTGGAACATCTAGCAGCCGAGTGTGAAACTTCCAAATCCAATGAATACAATATAGGGTAACTTCCATGATAAGCTGTACCCAATAATATTTATTTGTTGTTTTCAAACCCTTCTTGTATTTTTATAAGAATATTCATATTTACAATGCAGCCCAAACTGATTGCTACTTGTAACCGCTTTGACAACGCCTATAGTGTATCAGCTGACTGGTAGCTGGACAGTGCATATTCATGCCATTTATGCCATTTTTTAAATTGTTTGTTCATTCTACACGACGTATGAGAACAAATACATGTGGACGTTAGCATCCGCCTCGCTTTTGTTAATTCAAGCGAGAATTGATGACCACCGTATACCCGTACACCCGCACATTCAAAATCGGCTCTATCAAAAACACACACAACAGCCGACATTTCATTTTGTAACGTGCGAGCGAACATACGTCGTCCTGGCATGGCGACGCAACGTGTCGACTGTGTTCGTGTCAAAGTAAATGGAATAGTAGTAGAGTCACTCACTGACCGACAAGTTTTCTTCTTGGTTTGCCGGGGCCAGCTATTCATAGGTGCCTGCAAGAATTTTTCTCAATAGGCAAGAGATAACTTTCTGTTCCCCCAAAACCCTTTGAAGGGCTAGGGAAGCAAATTTTTCAAAATTGTAAACAAAATCGAGCCAAATATGCAAACCTTAAGGTCCGCTTGGAGTCTCAGGGTGCCCATGGATGTAGGCCTTTTGTTATCTCGGACACAGTAACATAAAACAAAAACATAACGTGCAAAAATGTTTGAGTTGCAGTCAAATTCGTTAATCCTCACTGTGGTCGTATCGACTTAGTTAAGTAGACTGTTACGCACTAGAACGGGATACCATTTTGACTTTCAGGCAACGGAACGTCAGTCAACGACCCCTTTCATTCATATACAGGGTGTCCAATAAGTACCACGACAAACTTAATGACAAGGTAGGCTTTGGACTGACCTCCCAAGTAACAAAAACTTACCTATGTAAAAAGGTCATTGGCTTTGAGATACTGAATTTTTTCATAGATTTAAAAAAACGAAACTTTTCATCTGTGGTCTTTAGCTGCGTGTACAAATAAGGTTATGCTTTGCTCATTTTTTCGATAAAGTACTTCTAGATAGTTGCTTTATCATATACAGGGTGGCCCATCCATGTGTGGACGGAATATTACTCATAAACAAATAAATTTTGGAAAAATCTGTTTACGGGATGTTATACATGACATTTGAGGGCACATTTCTAAAATATTGGCCATTATACAGGGTGTCCCAATTTCGACCTACATATGAAAGTTGTGATTTTTTAAATAGAATGCCTCAAATTTTATTGCATATTTTTCTATTGCATATATGGGGT